TGCATTTTATTGCAAAGAAAACAAAACCACAACCCTGTCGCTCCCAGAGCAAGATGCGAGTGTTTCAAAGTGTTCTCCAGCGGCAATCCCGAGCAGCGGCCGGGGTGCGCAGACACTTCAGGCCCAGCAGCAATGCAGGGGTTGAGAAGCAGGGCTGGGAGCCTGGCTGCCAGCAGACATGAGCCCAGGAGGCTTTCGTGAGCCAGCAGGGCTGAAGGTGCTTGTCTCGGACTGTTTGAGCTGGCCCAAAGCCAGACAGATGTGCTCCTGCGTGGCTGCAGAGGTGGACGGGAACAGACGAGCTGCTGGTGGCAGTGGCTACAGTGCGATCCTGCTGCGATGCTAAGGTCATAGTGCAACCCGCACAACAGCGTACCTCCATTCACACCGCAGCCTTTGCCCCGAGGGATCCTTAGGGGGTATCTCAAACTGTATTCTCAACCGGCATTCCATCCTCCACAGCATAGTTACAGGGTTGCTCCTCGTTGTTTCCTTACACCCCACGTACCACGAGGCTGTCTGCAGTCCTGCCACGTGTTGGACTCTGTGTTATAGATGCTGTTCGAGACATCTGGGCAACATCCAGGAGTAATCTGCAGCTTGGCCAGCCCAGACCACATCTGGCCACCATCCCACAGAGATGGAGAGCCACTCGGATCTCAGACATGCATACAGCCGATGCCATCGCCGGCGTTCCCCAGGGCGCAGAGCTCCTCGCACAAGCACCTGGAGCTCGCTGAAGAACCACCTCTGCTTCCAGCTGGAGCCTCTGCTCTCTGGCCGTGCTCCCCAGGAGAAAAGGGGGCAAGTAGAGGAGAAAGCAGGGAGATGGAGCTGAGACCTTGTATTGCTACCCAAGGGCCTCCAGCCCAGTGACTCCAGCCAACATCCCATCTCATTGCTCTTCAGATGGGGATGTCCTCACACAAAACCATCCCTTACACGCCTGGTGTGAGCCCCTCTGCTCACAGGGCAAGTCCAGCAGGTGAATAAAGCAGCTGGCTGTCCTCGGCAGGTCACGGGAAACAGATCGCCAGAGCTCAGAGAAGGAAAAAAAGTCCTTTTTTTTTTTTTTTTAATTTTTCATCTCCAACTCCCAGCAACCACCAGGTGTCAGTGCGATCAAACGTTTGGCAGATGGGACCACATTGAAGTCCTCCTAGATGGAAAACAGTTTTTCAGGAATCACTTTGTCTCCTGTCTCTGCTCCGTCACCTGGCACACTGCTCTGAGAAGTCCAGCTTTGACAGTTTTTGTTAAAAAGTTTAACTACATTACGGTGATAGAAAAGCTTCCTGTTACAAATGATAAGACAAAGTTTCTCTTCCTCTTTAAATCCTCCCTGTGCAGAGCTGGAAACCCAAGCACTGAACCGGAGAGTGAAACAGGCTCTCACCAGCCTCCCTACAGCGCTCCCCAGCCCGCTGGGCCCCGGAGGTGACCCATCTCTGCAAGGCTGGTGGGAGAGGGACAACAGTGCAAACGACTTAACAAGATCAGCCTAGTGCAAAAAATGATACAGAGGAAAAACAAATGGTAAAGGTATAAAAAGTATCACCAGACTACAATGAAATGCTATTAACCAGTAGATTTCTGGAGCTAAACAGAGATCATACAGCCAGGTGCACCTTGTCAGAGAAAGCAGAAAATTGTTCTCAGCCTCCTGACAGCCACCCTTAGACGCTCTCAAGATCACCTGGATGCTCCAGGCACAGAAGAGAGCTCTACAGTCTCTGGAAAACCTTCAGTCCCTAAGAAGCCAGAAGAGGAAATCAAGAGAACTTGCTAGCTTATTATCAAGCTTGCACAGCCTCCTTGGTTTCTTTGCATTGTGAAGACTTCCCACCAGATCAGCAGGTGCTGAGCCTGGCCAGAAGCACTGCTTTACCAGCACCTCGTTTCTCTGAATTAGTAGAGAGAAAACAGGGCAGCAAAGCAGCTCCGAGCAATGAAGCACACCAAGGAAGTGTTTTGTGAGTGAACTGATTTACATATGGTTGGTGGTATATTTTTAATAGCCACTGGGCATTAAAAATATATTTAATGAGGAGTATTTGACTTAGAAACATTTATACGGTGAAGCTGCCTAAAGGCCATGGCCATGCCAGGCCCTGGTATGCTAAGTGCTATAAAAACCTCAAATTCTAACTCCATGCTTTAATTTACTCACCATATCATAACAACAACTTGCATTTGATCCTGCGAGTCCCAAAGTGCCATCAACACAGCCACCGAGTGTGCAGCTTCACTGCCCAGACCCATCACTCGGCAGGAGCCATCAGCGAGGGGCGGTCAGAGAAGGGCCACACGTGGCTGTCCACGGACAGGACTGTCCCCCAGCTGCTGGGGCAGGAGAGGGAACTCCTCTGAGCATCTCTGCAACCCTACCAACGAGATACAGATGGAGCCGATGGTCACCATTTCCTACGTAACACAGGGAAAGGTGCGGAGGCAGGATAAAACCACTGAAAACTGGAAATGTGGAAAGAGGAAACCAAAGGCTATCACTTTTCTTGAATCGCTAACAGACTGCAATTAACGTGGTCCTACATCGAGGTGATCTGTGATTCATTTTGTACGCAAAGCGCTACGCAAAATGAAACAACAGACTCTTGTACCTTGACTTTAGGCACTCCCATCAGGGATGAACATGCTAAAAATATCTATATGTACAGGGATAGATCTACAGGCTCGGCATCAGGCTGCGTATCTGTGGTCATTCTGTACAAAGGTCCCCTTAAAGACCAAACCTGAAGCTGAGTCTTGCAGTAAGCAAGCAAGCAGGTCACCGGAACAGAGAGGAACACTGTTGCCTCTGACCAAAGCAAGTCCCTCAGTCCCTCAATGATAGAAGAAACAAATGTTCTGGGATTTCAGGCTTGACAGCAGCTGAGCCTGGGTTTAGGCAGGGCTCAGAGAACAGTTATGCATATTCACGTGCCTTTTATGACACCTCTTCGGGGAGCTGGAGCCTCAAAGTTGCCTGAGGCATGGCTGAGAAACATTCATTGGGGAGCTCTTAGATCTGATTCTCATCTCATCTGAACTGGCTTTTACACTTGCTTAAATGCAGTGATTTGAAGATGTTACCCCCACTTACACCTATGGGACATTAAACACTTCCCCCCCTCAGGGCAGGATGCTGAAAAGGAAACAAAAGGATCAGAAAATTGTGTTTCCAAGTTTTTGCTTTTCTCCCTGTTTAAAAAGTCTCAAATAGTCCTTACATTTACTTCAACAAGACCAACTGAAACCAAACCACCCTGGAAAATGAAACAGGAGTGGAGCAGGCCTGCCAGCCTAAAACTGAGACATAGCCAAGCGATACTTTGCTGCTGATTTCACAGGCTGCTGCATGGAAGAGGCAGGTCAATGTGCCTTTTGAGCAACTCTCCAACCAAAAGCAAATTTCCAGCTAAGATGCTGCACCATGGCACCGAATTCTCTGCAATCAGTCAAGCAAGGGTAAAGTGCTCAAAAGTTGCAAACTCAGCTTGGAGCTGTGGAGGTGAAAAAGGGAGTGGGGCTGTTTGTGGTGCAAGGGGGGAAATGAGATGACAGTAGGATGTTTTCCCCAGATGTAAACATCAGCCCAGCTAATTAACAGCTGAATGCTAGAGCACTAAAAAAAAAAAATAAATAATAAAATAGATCTTTTTTCACAGGTGGAATGCACACTGCCCAGGACATTGACTGAGCCTTGGCTCTCCTCCATCCAGAATGCACTGGTTTTACAGCACCTGCAGGGACTGAACGTGATCTCAAGGTCAGGATCTGGCTGCCATAGCTCCAGCTGGACTCCAAAGTGAATTTGCTCCCCAAAGCTGGACTCTTGGTGGCAGACTTAGCCTCACTGCCTTGCTTCTCAAGCCCAGCCACTCTCATCTGCTACCAGAGAGCTACAGTAAGTGCATTTAAAGGTGATGAAAGCATTGGTGCTACTGATAGGAACACACACACAGAGACCTACACACCCACCCCTCCCACTTCCCTCTGTTCAGTGATCCTCCTGGCTCCAAGCCTCAGATGCAGGCTCAGGACTTCTATTGTGAAAACTTGCCCAAACACTTGACCTGTCCCCAGCCTTTAAGAAGTTCCTGAGAAGCCACCTGATCCCATGGTCCCTCAGTCAAGACAGGAGAAAGACAAGTGTATTTAAGGGGATGGTTCCCTCCCTTCATTTTCTAAAGATGCGTGTCTTCCTCAAACACATCCACGTCCTCGCTCGCCTGCTTATTGATCAGGACATCCCAGCTGTCGGGGCCATTGATGGTGTTTCCACCGTTCACGCTTGGCTTCTTCTCCTGCATTTCTGACTGGCTGTCACTGGCCACATCCAAGGTGGGGTTGTCATGGCAGCCGTTCTCAACAAAGCGCAGCTCCTCGCCGTGTGACTGCAAAGGACGAGAGGATCACAAATGGAGACAAAGGAGGACAGGTATCAATGCTGCAGAGATGCACAATCAGACCAGGCTAGGAGGGTCACCGAGGACATTGCAGGGTCAGTGGGAAAAGGTAAATTTACTCCGAGCCCAGCCCTCGCAGTGGAAATGAGGTGTCCTGAGCACAGCAAGAGACACGTTTGCACCTCTCTTATGCCTGAATTGGCTCCCTTGCTGCTCCAGCAGTGTCTCCAGCTATGTCCAGTAAGCGGACAAAGGAAAACAATCTCCTCCTCAACCTTCCAATCCCCCCCATCTCAAGGCCTAAGAGTCTAGCCACCTTCCCCACCCATCCAGTGCTCACCATGTTCTTCATCTTGGGCAGGCGTCTCTGCCAGCAGTTGTATATGAGCCCCAACACAATGATGATGGCACAGATGGAGCCGATGATCACCAGTACCACAAAGAGTTTCCCATAGTCACTGCGTGTCTGGTTGGGGTGCGACTGGCAGCTTGTGGTGGTTGAGTAGTTCTGGATGCCAATCTGGAAGGAAGGAAGAAAGGGGTATGCTAAATCCTCTGCCCTGCAGCCTGGTGGGATCCTGTTCAGATTTTCCAGGGTCCAAGCACAGGACCATCACTGTGGGCAGAGGAACTAAAAGCCAAGGTTGGGGAGTCAGGATGTACACTGTCTTACAGGACCAGAAGGCACATAACGGAATATAAAATCATCTTCCATGAAAGCTGAGATGCCAGCAAGTGACAGTAGGTACAATGTTATCTTGATCACCTACACAAGAATCATACCTACACAAGAATCATACCTACGTGCAAGACAAGGAGGCTTTCATGAGAGAAACTGCCCGTGATTGAGAGTATGCAAAACAAACTATGGACCATTGATAGGTGCTGAGGCTTTGGTGACTGTGTGACAGAGAATGAAACCATAATAACTAGGTTTCCATTAAAGCTCTTGTCCTAAGAGGGTATAGTGGTCTTTCAGAGGTCTTAAAAGTGGACAGCTGCCTGCTGATTCAAAAAGCTGCCCTAGAAATGGGCCCCCTGTGGTTGTCAGCAAACAAAGCCCAGCTTGGGTCCCAGTGACTTGGCAGATTTCAAGCAGGTTATGCATCAACTGAACAGTAAGTATGATGGGTGTAAAGGAATATCCTCCCTCCTCCTTCCAAGCTCGTGCCAGTGCAAGGCCAGTGCAATGAGCAGCATTTCATTATTGATAGAGCTGGAGGCAGGTGGAGAGGCTGCTCTGGAAGGATGCACGTTAACATAAGGTCACAATTGCACAAAGAAGTCAAACCTTGCACCAACATGAATCCTTCTTTCTGGACAGTTCTAGCTGCCGATACTTCAGTCACACAATTTCTAGAGGGTTGGCTTTTCACACTGCCTCTGGTATAAGCTGATCAATACAGCACTGAGTGCTGGATTTGCTTTGTCTAACTGCACTAGTTTGTTAGGTCAAGGAAAAACCTGAGAGCAGCCAGCCAGCAAGGGAGTGGACCAACTCTGCTGCCGAAGTCAGCAGAATTACTCAAACCCAAGCAGAATCAATCCCTCAGTGCCTACATATGCCATAGGCTGAAGGGGCAAAGTCAGAGGTCATGGGACTAATTTGTCCTCATCTCTATCCTGTTCCAGGGTGAGAGGGGAATACGTGAACACTAGAGGCAGCTAGCCTTGTGCAGGCAGTTGTCTAAAGGAGACTCTGGGATTGCAGGAAGGAGGTGTGTGAGCGTGTCCCACCTAGTACAGGCACCTCTCCCACCTCCTTCAGCAAAGCTGAGCTACTAGAGCAGCCGATGTACGTCCATCAGCTGTAGGGCGAGCAGGGCCAAGTCTGGGGCTCTGCAGCACCCACGTCACCACAGGCAATAGCGTCAAAGGGATGAGACCAAGTATCCCAACAAAATGAACGTGCGAAAAGCAGCTTCACAACCACGCCAGAAACGCAGGGAGGGAAATAACCCACAGTCACTCTCTTAATGGGAGTGGTCATTTGATGGCCTGGCAACTACCGGAGAGGGGAGAAGGGAGTTCGCCAAGTGTCTGACACATCCGTTTGCCCCCTGTGGGTTCAGCACTCGGTTAGACTGAGATAAGCTCCTAGTTTCCAAGTTGCTTATTCTAATTGTACAGCTAGTCTTAACAAATGGATGCAGGCAGTCGGGCTCTTACCTCGGCTAAGCTCCTCTTAACATCCCCCAGTGCCATGAGAACATCTTTTGTAGGGATGACACCTGTAAAGAAGGAGAGGGAGAGATCAGTGCTTCTCTCAGCTCAGACAGATCTACTCATCACCCTGAAATCCCCAGTGGGATGGAGGTAGGGGAATACACATTTTTTGTGTATAGGTACTTTATGTCAGGAGGCTGAAAGCATACAAGGACTGCAGCCAAGGGTACCTCCAAGTGTTCTTCAAAGGGGGGAAAAAAATCCGAGCACAAACTGATAGCAGAGGCACCTAGGTGCTCTTCCCACAGCCACAGCAGCTCTCAGGATCTGTGTCTGCTCTGGGAGCGAGCAGCAACATCCAAAAAGTCATCATGGAGACAGGTGCCTATGCCACCCGACCCAGCCTCTCTGTCCAGCACAACTTGATCCTGAGCTGCAGCACTCAAGATGTTCCCACAGAGCTCCACGCTTACCTATCACAACCTTCAGCAGATGGGATTTGCTCTGCAGGACGCCCTGGCGAGGTGGTGTGGCTGGCACAACAGCAGAGGCTGCAGGAAATGTGCTGGAATAGCTCCACTCCAGCAGGAGACAGCTTCAGCCAGGGAGCCACCAGTCCAGACTGAGCCAGCCCTTCCTGGGACCCTCCTTCCCCAACAGCTCCCAGGATGCTCTCCAAGCCAGGAGAACAGGAATAGTAAGGGAAGATTTAGAGGCTGAGGCTCATTTCTCCCTTCATTTGCACAGCAATAAAAAGAGAAACTGAACAAAAGCTTGATTATTCAGAGCTGAAAATACTTTGGTTCCTGAGGTTTCTAAATTCAGGGATATCTCCCGGCTGGGCTGTGCTGCTGGAGGTCAGACCTGTTTTCTTCTCCAGGAAGGGAGATGTCCCTTCGCATGACGGCATGAAGGTTTTAGTTTAGAAGATCAATTGCTCATCAAAAAGCCTTTTCACTGGCATATGCTCCAGCCAAAGGGCTTGGAAGACATGCAATGATTTAAGGCATCAATACAGCAAATATCACTTAAATGTTAGCTCTGTTTTCCTGTCACTGTGGGGCATTTTAGAATACTGTTGGCTTTATATATATATATAGGCCATAATGTCAATATTAGAGGCCTCCATCACTAAGGAGGCAGCAGAAGCAGTACAGGAAAAGCATTCCCTACCAGAAGGGGACTAAAGACATGGTAAACTGTTCCAGCCCAGCCCACCTTTCACTGTCAGGTTTTGTTTCTTTGGGGATGCAGGGAAGGCACCATCAAGACTGGCCCAGTTTGGACAAGACTTCAGAAGTGTTAAGACGTGACCTAAGAGCAGGTTGTCATGTCCTGCCACTGCGGTGGCCTACCCACGGAGCAAAGTATATAAGCACTGGGATAAGGCTGATGGATGCTCGAGTGAAGGCAATCCAGGGAGCGTGCAAAGCAGGAGGGAAAGCGCAGAAGATGGACCTTCGTGCAAGCAGTGAGGGACAACCTAGAAGGCAGATGTGAAGAAAAAGGGTCTTATGTCCTCAGTTGCTCTCTATCCCTCAAGCCCACTTAACACTGGGAACTGGTGGGATTGAAATGGACTGGAGAGAAAAAGCTCCTTCCAACATGTCGGACACCCCCTCTGTCACAGGAAGTCTCCTTCTCGAAGCACTTACCCTGTTCCCCTGCCAGAGTCATTAGCAAGTGCTTGTCATTCTCGCTGGGTTTGCTCAGAGAGATCAGCCAGCGGTCCTGCAGTCCATCCGCCTGTCTGGAGAAGGCATCCTCCAC